ACACACCACCCTGGCTTTAGGCAGGAGTTGTTGGACACAGGCTAGGATTGCTGCACAGTCTGCACACACCCTGCAACTGCCAGGTTTGTTTATGCTCTTTGGGTCAGCACCCAAATCTTTGCAGTAGACCAGAAAGATCCTGTTATAACAAGAAGGAACAGAGACAAACATGAACTGTGTTGCTGTTTGCATTTCCACTTCTAGCTAGGTCCCTGGCTCCCTCTATGAAAGCACACCCTACGTAAGGGGCTAAAGCTGATTGGGAAAGCAAAGCTCTCAGTAGGGACAGCTGGAAGCAGCTCACAGCAGCCACTTCTGCCACCTGAGCAGCAAAAGCACTCCCAGGCTGCTTCTCCAGCCCCTGCTTCCACTCAGGATCCAAATGCAGAAGGAGCTGTTAGACTCTCCCACTCCCCTGGGAAAGGAGAAACTCCCTGTTTTTCTGAACAGCCAGAAGTGAAAAAGTTTCCATCACTAACCAGTGACGGCCTGCAAACTGGAAATTACAGGGAGAAGCTCTGAAGTTGTAGGCTGCAGAGCGCTCAGTCGATACCTCCTGAAGCTGGTGAACAGGCAGAGATTCTGCTGCAGGCAAGCAGATTTCCCTTCCACCTCCTTTTTCAGGTCATTTACTCCCCAAATTCACTTGGGCATTACCACCATGTCAAAGCAGGACACTGCAGGTGCCTTCTAGGCCTGAAAGCATAACCAGCATCTTATCTGTTTAAAGATGCTGCAGAACAAAATGCTTTGGAGAATATTAGATCGAGTCTGAGCAAACAAATGCTGTCATCGCATTCCCCTTCCCCTGCTGAAAAACAAATCCATCTTTCCCAGGAGCAGCATATAAGGCAAGCAAATCTGGCTTGTGTCATGGCAAGACCAGCGTGTTTATGACACAAGTATTCCTGTGCAGGAACACTCTAGGATCCATCTGGCTGTTTATCATCCCTCTGTCTCACTGCAGAGCTTCCTATGCAGTGCAGTCTCCAGGTCCTCGGATAACCCCGAGCCAGGGAACAGCAGCAATGATGTGCCGAGCCCGCTGCTGCTGCTGGTGAAGCCCGAGCAGACACACACGGCGGAGGCAGAAAATGCTGCACTCCTCTGCGGCGAGGATCCCCACACCCATCCCCGGATCCCCGCATGTGGGATTGCTGCCAACAGGCTGCTTTCAAGAGCTGCAGACAGGAAATGGCAAAGGATCCAAAGGTCTGTTACCAGGCACAAAAAAAAAAAATCTCTGCTTGGAAGCAGCAGCCTAAATAAACACCCCAGAAAATAGCATCTGCAGAATACAATATCTGCAGGTTGCAAAAAGGCTAGTCACTGCCACCAGGCAGGGCATTCATTTAATCTCAAATACCCCAAACCTAAAATAATCTCCAGAAATTACAAGAAACAGCTGCTCCTGCTGAGGAGCACAGAGTAGGGCAAGAGCTCCACAAACACAGCTGCTTCTTGGCTCAGGCTGGTTTTCCCCGGAGCCCCAAAGACTACAAAAAGCCTTTTTCATACAGCAGGCAAGCAACTCCCAGGTGGACCCCCCTGCTCTGAGGGCTACTGGAGACACAGAGCAGGCCTGAAAGCAAGCAGTCATGTCCAGGAAAAGCCAAGTCTGTTTCTGTCTCGATGGGGACAGAAGTCCTAGAAAGCCTAGAGATTTCCTAAAATCCCATTTGGCACCAAGCAAGCAGCTAGATTTAAAAGAAAAAAAAAAATGACCATAGGAGATTTAGGGTCTTATCCAACTCAACCAAAGCAGAAACTGCAAACACCAAGTGCCTGGAAGGAAAAGAAATCTGAGGCTACCTGAAGGAGCAGAGGGAAGGTGAATAAAAGAAAGCAGTTTATACCCGGACAGAAACCCACTCAAACTGTACCAGCACTAGCAATGCACCCGCAGGTCTCATCTAAAGACCAGCTACTAAAATAGCACACAGTATTTACTAAGCCATTTTTCATGCTGTCTTTATAGCAGCAAGCACTGGAAAAAGTGAACCATAGAGAAAAAACCCCAAAACAACACATAAGCCACAGAGCAAGTGGGCTCTTTGTTTTTCTGCCACCAAGATCTGATTCTCATTCTGATCTTCTCCCTGCAGGCCAGAAGGGACTCCTTCACTAACTTCTGCCCATTCTTGTATGACAGCCTCAATTCCGCAAGACCTACAATGACAGAAACGCTTGAGCCTCCTGTTTAAAGGTCAATAATATTCAACATATTAACTTTATGCCCTGTCTGCCATATGTCTGCCATAACTGCTTTTTCCTGGAGTCCTTTATTACACCTATGCAATCCTAAACTGATAACACAGTTTCCTCCTGCAGATTTTCTCATCTGCCCTGTACTGAGTTTAAGACCTTTGATAATTTTTTAATAATTTTTTCAGCTTTTCCTGGAGATAATCTTTATGAAACAGAAAAAAAAAAAAGGTACCACAGGAGTTATTTCCCTCCTCTTGCAAGACTGAAAAAACAGTATAGAAAGTCAGGGGACCGAGAACTAGATTACTGGAGAATGGTATTTTTGCTCAAGCTAAACTTTGTTTTCCCTATCAGAGGTATATTTGGAAGTTATACAGACACTAAAAATATGTTCTCCAGGAAAGCCTCAAACTGCCCGCTTTGTCCAAAGCATATGGAAATTCCTGTTCCCGTTCTCCAACAAACAAAAGATCACAGAGCCCTAAGTTTTCCTAATATTTCCTAGCAGAAAAGATT